GGGCCCGCCTGCCACCTCTTCCACTCCCAGTACCCGGGCCGCTGTGACTTCCTGCACGCGCCTGGCCCGGGCCCGCCTGCCACCTCTTCCCTTCCCAGTACCCGGGAGCTCAGCGGCTGAGGATCTGGCTCAGGTGTGAGGACAAGGAGACGTCACCGCAGGCTCCAGCGGCACTGTGGTGGGGTCCGGCCACAGCCCCTGCCCTGCCCCAGGCGGCACCCAGCGCCGGCAGACTCAGCAGTGTGACTCCATCCGGCGTCTGAGCCGCCTGCCTGCCTGCCCGATGAGTGTGGCTTTGCAGCCACCCCTGGCCAAGAGTGTAAAGCCAGGTGACTCAGTCACGCGCAGGAGGGCCCCAGGGACCCGGGGGATGGAGCCCGGCTCACTCCTGTCCTTGGCTCCAGACTCATCGGCCTGAACCCTGCCCCGCTCCCGTCAGAGGCTGGTGCACGGCCAGCCTGGCCCACACGCCTGGATCACTCGTGCATTGCTCCTGGGGCCCCGGGGAGAAGGAAGCCGCCAGCGGACCCGGGGAAGCCGGGTGGGCACAGCAGGGGGCAGGGCTGTGGAGGACCGGCTTCGCGGGCCTTACCAGCAGGAAGCAGGGGCTGACCAGCTTCCAGCACAGCCGCCAGTACAGGCTGGGCCGCCGCCCCGTCATCTGCTTGATGTCCTCGCTGAACTGCCGGACACCTGCGAGGTGGGGCCATGGGTGTCAGGACCATGTGGCCGGGGCCTGTGTGCAGCCGGGCTCCTGCTCCCGGCCCCGCCCCACGGACCCCCGGCTGCACCCAGGCTCTGTGGAGGGGGCCCCAGCCCAGCCAGTGAGGCCTCGCTGGCTGCTGGACCCCATGTGCGGCTCAACCCTGGTGACCCTCCAGCATGGCCTGCTCGAGGGACAGCTGCCTGATGGCCCTGGCCCTGACCTCAGGTCCTCCTCATGTCCCATGTCCCCTATCTCCCTCTGCAACTGGTATTTTCCACTTTTTAAAAATTGTGGAAGCAGGGCATGGTGATGCACGCCTGCAATGCCAGCACTCGGGAGGCTGAGGCAGGAGGACTGCTGGGAGTTCAAGACCAGCCTGAACTGCATAGTAGGAATGTCTTCACAAAAAAAAAAATTGTGGCACAGTGCACGTAACATAAATTTACCACTGCAAGCATCTTTTTTTTTTTTTTTTTTTTTTTGGTTTTGGTTTTTCTCTGGTACCAGGAACCGAACTCACGACCTTGCGCTTGCC